TTGTCTCTTATAGATGAGGCAAATATTTTTCTATCACACCGTTATCTTTTGACTTTGGATGTGTTTTCAGTATAACCGAAAATTTTCATTGTTGTCAAATATGTTCAAATTTCCCGTCTGTGTTTCTGGGCTATCTGTCTTAGAATGCCACTCTATATTTCCTTTAACTTTATTATCTTACTTTTTCCAATTTAAAACTTCAATTTGAGTTTCATTCATTCATTAAGTTGCTTAATTAATTCATTAGTAACTGGGTAAGTCAGGCAGCTAGCTTTATTCTAAATGAAGAGTCAGGAATTTTAAAAGTATTTAATCAGCAAAAATGTACACTTTGGTGGTGGAGGGGTGAGGTGGGCAGGAAAGGACCCATTAAGTTTTCTAGGAGAAACTGAGATCCCTGAAGCTGGATCCAGATCTTTAACTCACAATCTGGGAAAAACATCTAGAGGTTTTTGATCGCCTAGCCTATCATCGGTTGGACTCCTCTGAATGTGCGTGTGTGTGCGCGTGATTTAGCTGTTTTTTAAAGAAGGGATTTGTAGACGAAAATATTGTTCTCCCTCAAAAATCTCCTTATTTATAAACTGGATCCTGTGGACTCCATCCTGCCTGTTGTTCCATTTTAGATGTGTCTCCCTCAGCCCGTGATGAGCTCACTGAGGCCGTGCCTTCACTCATCTCTGTTCTGACTGGATGCTGGCTGAACTTGTCTTCCAAACCTCTAAAGATTTATTTCATGTGTGTCCATATAGTCTGAGAGCATTTTAACCTTTTAAAGAAGAATTTGAAGGTTTCCCTACAAGCAGATGAGGAACCAGCAGTAGCAAGACTTCTCCACAGACAATGTCTTTTATCTTTCCATTTGCAAATGAAAGTACCAATAAATACTTGTAAAATTTTATCACTCTGTTAAACTTCAAATTCAGACTTGTCAGTAATTACTGGTTAGCATTAAAAGGATGAGATTAGGGATTGAGGTCCAGGAAGAATACACATTTTGCTTGGAGGCACACAGAGCAACCGGGTCTCTTGTCTTCTCATTTTCTGTTGCAGTTTGGCCCTTGACAAAGGACGAATGCTGTGGTGAAGGGCACAGGTCGGGTGAGGAAGGACAAGGCAGGACCCTGCAGCGACAGGGGCCAACCTGACCTGTTGACACTTCCCCTGCCTGTCGGTAAAAAGGTGGGTCAGGCAATTCTGAGATCCCTTCCTGGGGCTGCTGCATTGATGATGTGGTCATCATTCCTCTTTCCCTCTGTTGCTGACAAACAGAAACTCTCTCCGAAAAGCTGGCTGCTTCAAAAGGACTCTAATTAAGGGACCTCTGCCTTGAACAATAAATACTATGCTGTAGTACAATATGGACAGATATCTGCTTTGCGAGGTGGATGCCCCCTGGAGCAAGACAGACACAGGTAGGCTGAGGAAGACAGAGCCAGTTTCCTCTCCGAGTCTCGGGGGAAGCTGGCCCTTAAACGAATTCTCCCAGGCAGGTATCATTACAAATGAAGGCAAGTGTTCTGAGGGAAAATCTGGGATGCTTGGGGAGAAAACAGCAGGAGGGCTTGGTTTAGATTAGGGAGTTAGGGAAAAGCAGAAGTAGGGGGTATGAAAGGCTTTTGCAAAGGTTTAGAGCTTTACATATGGGAAGAAAATAATAATAATGAAAGTGTTTGGAAGGGCTCATCCTCATTCATGGGTCACTTCCTAGGACTCAAGGAACCTGCCCCCTCCCCTTGAATTATGTAGGTATCCAGGATAAGGACTGGGGAGTCTTCACTAATGCTAATAGGTGAGCATTTTACAGGCTGCCCCCTGCCCCTCCGCATCCTCACCCGCAACTAGTTTGAATGTGGAGATGAATGGAGAGGATGGCATTTCCAGTTTGGGAAAAAGGTGGAGAATCTTTCCCACCCCCATCCCCAACCCAGGGGCAGGGCGGGGGGTGGAGGAGGGCAGGTTTCCCTGCTCCAAATCATCCGAAGAGGAATTCTTCCAGGGGAAATCCCACTTTGTTGTGCATTTGGTTATTAAGGGGGCTGCCCGGGAGACTGGGGTTGTTCTGGGGAATGTGGGTACTAGAATCTTTAACCCTGTCAACCCTGCCTCCCAACACACCTGCAGGAAAGCTTGATCAGAGCGAACTGAAGTTTCATAGTGGTGTTGGGTTGGGAGAGCCGAGCTGAGGGTGTTCATTTCCCGGGAAGAATCATCAGGGTCTGCTAATTAACAGTAGCTGACACTCAACACCCACCCTGCGCTGCTGGGCACCGTTCTCAGCGCTTTCAAAATTATTTCTCAATAACAGCCCTATGAGGTAAGCGCCATTACTAACTCCATTTGGCAATTGAAGAAACCAAGGCACAACGAGTCTTGAGTAGTGACAGCAGCCGCTTATCCTTTTGCCTCCGACAACCAGGAGCCAAGATTTCCGAACCAGGGTTTGGGCTGCCGGAGTTGTGGACCACAACTCCTATGTGAACTTCATCCGCCTCCCCAGAATTCGGGAAATCCCTGGTTTTTGAAAGGCTAACTCGGGAGCCCTTGGGGACCTTTTGGGGAGCCTCCCGTCCATTCCCTGCGGAAGCTGGGCCGAGCCGCCACCCTCTCCCCCCTCGCGGTGGGGGGGACAGGTTGACGGACGGCGGGAGGGCGCCCGTGGCCCCGCTCCGACCCCCCAGAGACCAGGCCCAGCAGCTCCGCTTTCTGCGCGGTCTCCGCGAGGTGTCGCCTTCGGCCGAAGAAACCACCGCTGCGCCACCCTCGTCGCCCGCAGTTATTTATTTATTTATTTTCAAACAAGGGGGCGCCCCTCTCCTTTCAATTTAAAACTAGAAAAACCTCCAGCGATCTCGTTCCTAAATGGGCGCGTCCTTTCCCTCCCACTTTGCACCCTGGCTCCCGCCTCCCTTCCGAGATCACCCACGAGCAACCACCCACTTCCCCGCCCTCCCCGTCCCCCTCCCCTCACTGCCCGGCTGGACGTTGGCCTAGCGCTCAGCTGCACACACGCGCCGTCGAAACGGGGGCTGGGTTAGGAGCCTCTGAACTGTCCCCCACCACCTCCCGCTCCAACCCCGCAACCTCAACCAACACCCCCGGAGCCCTCCGGAAATTTTTTTTTTTTTTTCTCCAATGTCGAGCAATGGCCAGGCCCGCGGGTTGGGTGCGGCATTGCACGGCTCGACCCGCAGCTGGTCCGCGAGTGCACCCGGTGCAAGCCCGGGGGTCTAAAAGGGCGGGAGGAGCACGCCCCGGGCTTCCCAGCTTTGCAGCCTCCGTTCTGCAAAGAAGAAAAGCAAGTGGCTTTTGGCGCGAAAGCCTTGGCGCCTCCCCTGATTTTTATGGAAATCAAGAGGGCGGGGTAAAGCCGCTCTCCTCTGCCTTTCTCCCTCCCCCTTGTCTGTGCCGCAGCCCCCTTCTCTCCCCGCCCCCCGGGTGTGTCAGATTTTTCAGTTAATAATATCCCCCGAGCTTCAAAGCGCAGCCAGTGACAGTCATCTGTCTGGACGCGCTGGGTGGATGCGGGGGGCTCCTGGGAACTGGGTTGGAGCCGAGCTCGCGCTAGCCAGGCGCAAGCGCGCACGGACTGCAGCCACCCGAGGACCACCCCCCGCCCCTGGCTACCCGGGGACCCCCGCACAGAATCGCCTCCGATCCCCGGCAGTCGGCGGGAGGTAAGGACCGGCGCCCCGGGAGCGGCGAGCGCGGCGGGAAGGCAAGCCCTGGACGGGGATCGCGGCTGACGCACCGGGGGCCCGAATATGCCCGGGGAACTGCTTCCGAAACAAAACCATCTCGGGGTTTTCCCTGAAAAGCCAGTTCCAGTCCCCAAGGCTCCAGGACTGGAGAGACCCGCCCTAATCCCTCTACTGCCCTTGCCAGGGGGGTGTAATGGCTTCATCGAAAGGACATTCACCCTTCTCTAGAACGTTTGTCTGCATCTGAGCTGACGGGGAGCTGGTGCGTCCCCACCCCGAAACTGGGTTCGTCTCCAAAGGGTGCCCCCAGAGGAAGTCGAAGGGGGTTCAGTAGGGCGAGGCCGTCGCGGTGGTAATCTGGGTCACGGCTGCTCCAGCTCGGAGGAGACAGCGGCTCTCCGCGAGACCCTCCTTGCACTGGTGCCCCTGAGCCGTTCCCAGGAGCTGGGGTTCGGCCTGTCTCAGGAAGAGGGCGTACTTGGGGGTTTGGAGCAGCGGGGGTGGGGTTAGAGAGGTTCAGAATCAGCTATTGGCAGTACTCTGCCTACAGCCAGTGACTGCTGGGGGCGTCTCATAAATTTTTTTTGGGGGGGACTGGATTCAGGATTGGGGTGCCTGTTGTTGCTCTCGGTCTAGAGAAAGGATTTTTCCCATTTGCAAAGTTGCCTGAATCCCCCCCACTCCTTCCCCCGCTATTGCTTGAAGTCCGGAGGTGGCAATTTTACAAAGGAGGAATTGAGGGTACTCTAAATCCTATACCCAGTTGCTGGGTTGGAGGCCTGGGCTTCCTCTGAGCAGCTGGCCCTACTTAGGTGCCACCGGGGCCGTCTGCGAGCTGGTGGGAGCTAGAATTCTGCAGCCTGGAACAGCCCCTTCCCCCAGGCAGTGCCTGGTGTGAATGAAATGGCAGTTTCCAAAGTTGGAGAGCCAGGCCACCACCCCCCGCATCTGCATGCCCCCTCCCATCCCTGTCGTAGACAGCTTGTACACAAAAGGAGGGAGGGAGAGAGCGAGAGACACAACTTCCTCCACCTTCGGGAGCGCTGGGCGGAGTGGGGGGCTTGGAGGGGAGATTGAGGAACCGAGGAAGAGGGGGTGACCGCTGCCTGTCCCCCCCCAACCCCCCCACCCCGCATCCGGCTCCGCTTGCCAACCCTCTCCTGGTGTGTCTGTCGGTTGCAGTTTTGGAGGTTGGCGCGGGCCCCCGCCCTCCACGCCCCCCACGGGAAGGAAGCACCCCCCGAACTAAAAAGAGCGGAGCGGAAAGAAGCCCTCATTCGGGGGCCAGGAGGCGAGCCGATGCCGAGCTGCACCGCGTCCACCATGCCGGGCATGATCTGCAAGAACCCAGACCTCGAGTTTGACTCGCTGCAGCCCTGCTTCTACCCGGACGAAGATGACTTCTACTTCGGCGGCCCCGACTCGACCCCCCCGGGGGAGGACATCTGGAAGAAGTTTGAGCTATTGCCCACGCCCCCGCTGTCGCCCAGCCGTGCCTTCCCGGAGCACAGCCCCGAGCCCCCGAACTGGGCCACCGAGATGCTGCTGCCCGAGGCCGACCTGTGGGGCAACCCGGCCGAGGAGGACGCGTTCGGCCTGGGGGGTCTGGGCGGCCTCACCCCTAACCCGGTCATCCTCCAGGACTGCATGTGGAGCGGCTTCTCGGCCCGCGAGAAGCTGGAGCGCGCCGTGAGCGAAAAGCTTCAGCACGGCCGGCCGCCCGCCGCGGGGCCAGCCGCCCCGGCCCCCGGCGCCCCCAGCCCCCCGGGTCGCGGGCACGGCGCCGCAGCTTCGGGGCCGGGCCGCCCCGGGGCCGCCCTGCCCGCCGAGCTCGCCCACCCGGCCGCCGAGTGCGTGGATCCCGCCGTGGTCTTCCCGTTCCCGGTGAACAAGCGCGAACCCGCGCCCGTGCCCGCCTCCCCGGCCGGTGCCCCGGCGGCAGGCGCCGCGATCGCTTCAGGGGCGGGCGCTGCAGCCCCTGTGGCGGCCCCGGTAGTCGCCCTTCCGCGTACCGGCGGCCGCCTGGCCAGCGCCAGCGACCACAAGGCCCTCAGCACCTCCGGAGAGGACACCCTGAGCGACTCAGGTAAAGCGGGAGCCAGGGTCCGGCTGCCTCCTTGGGGCGCTGGGGCTGGGGTGCCCCTCCTCCCCGTTTGTGGTTCACGAGTTCTGGCTTTGGGAGAGAGTATTTTAGAGACAGTTCTGATGGCTGAGAGGTTAGGTTTTTCCCAAGCCGATCCCCAGGGTTTGGAGGGGAGGGTTAGTAAAAGCTGTGTTCTCCAGCCTCACCTTAACTGAAGTTCCTTCAGCTCCCTCCGGGGAGCCTGACTCCATCACTGGCCCTCAACCGGTCCTGCATCTCTCTCGGCAGCGTGCCCTCCCAGGGGGGTAAAAATCAGGAAAAGTTGAGTGGTTAAAGCCGAGTTGGGGTTCAGGGAGCCGCAGGCTGCATTGCTTGGACAGAAATCTGTTAGCCCAAGGGGTGAAAAAGGACTGAGACACAGCTCAGGGGTGGAGAGTCGCCCCATAAAGGGCAAGCCTGTGCAAAATCCTATTAAGGGTGTAGGAAGTTAAGAGGCACTGCACAAATAGAGTACCGATTTTAGCTTTTATGTTTTCAAACCTCCTTACTCTTCCCCACCTTCCCTCTCTCTGGGTGGTGGGCTATTTGCTCCTGGTCGGTCGCCAGCAGGCGGCGATATGCTGGCCGGCAGGCGGGCGAGGATCGGGAAAGGCTAGGGGTGGTGGGGCCACCCCCCTTCTCTTCATTGAGCAGCTGGCGGCAAGTACCACAGCGGTTGTGTGCATTCTCAAGGGGCGGCCTCTTCACAGTGTGCAGTGAAAACCGGCCGGGTTTTGTCTTCTAGCCAGAATTCTAGGACTAATTTCAGATCCGAGTTGTTTTCTGTAACCCAGTGCCCTTCAAAGGTGAGGGCGGGCACTTAGCGGGTTGTCTAGGAATGCACACACCCTGGAGCATTCATTGATTAGTTCTATTGTGTGCCTGCTGCTGAAACTGAAGGGTAGGGTTAAAACCAAGATTTTGCCTGGAACTGAAGCACTCTACCCAAATACTGGAATAGCTCTTGTCCCTGGAGCTGGGAGCCTTGGACCTTGAAATCCAGTGTTTTCAGAATACAGATGCATAAAAAGCCTAAATTTCCTTTGGGGCTGAGGACAGATTGGTCCCAGGCTCCTGGAAGGAAACTTGGTGATAAGCCTCCAGTTTGAACGGGTCTGTCCCTTTAATGTCTGTGCCTTGACAGCTTTCGGTGAGGAAGCACTTCCTTCCAACAGCTGTCTTCTTGGCAGAAAACCAAAACATTGGCTTAAAGGGACCCACAGACTGGAACAGCCTCACATTTCGGCTTTAGAACAAATCCCACAATTGTTCAGCTTTCCGGTCCCCTTCAGATCAAGCCGAAGATGTGTTTTGATTTTCATGCTTGCATTTTAAACAATAATTTTCTATCCGAGCCTGGTAGTAAATGAAAAGGGGGGGTGGGAAATGGACACATGATGCTACACGTTCTTGTGGCTGTTGTTGGTGGTGACTATGAGAAGAGGTGCCCCGCTATTTGGGTTTAGAGCTCCGGTGGTTTACAACTTTGCTGTTAAGGTTTAATCTTTGTTAGTTGAAAAACTGCTTACTGTATAGAACTCATGTTCATGGAAGACAAGGTATTTTTCTTCCTTAGTTAATTAAATTGTTCTTTAAGTTTATTTGACTTAAAAATCAAACTCCATCACATGTAAGTAGTGGCTAACTGAGGCTCCTAAAATGAGAATTGTCAGTTAAGCATGGAGATGGAAATATAAATAAGTCTGCGGGGCAGACTAGCGACGATGATGAAAGCTTACTGTTTATTGAGCTTCTGTCTATATATTATCCATTCAACTCAACCTATGGTGTCATTCCCCATTTCATTGCCGGGGAAACTGATGAAGCCAGGATTCTGTCTTGACTCCAAAGCCAAGGTTCTTTCTGTTTCTGCCACCCACTGAAGCTTGAATGGAGGATGAGGATGGGGAGGGAAAAAGTATATACATCTCTGTTCAGAGACTGATGCTGATGGATCAGTAATAGCAGACCACGTGCTGGGGCCTACCTTGTGAGACTGTGTATATTTCATTCCTATGTGCCTCACCGTGAGAATAACTCTCATCTTGTTCTCAAAGATGATGAAGATGAGGAAGAGGAAGATGAAGAGGAGGAGATCGACGTGGTGACCGTGGAGAAGCGGCGATCGTCCTCCAGCAGCAAGGCTGTCACCACCTTCACCATCACTGTGCGTCCCAAGAGCGCAGCCCTGGGCCCTGGGAGGGCTGCGTCAGGGGAGCTGATCCTCAAACGCTGTGTCCCCATCCACCAGCAGCACAACTATGCTGCCCCATCGCCCTACGTGGAGAGCGAGGAGGCGCCCCCCCAGAAGAAGATCAAGAGCGAAGCTTCCCCACGGCCCCTCAAGAGCGTCCCCCCACCCAAGGCTAAGAGCTTGAGCCCCCGCAACTCTGACTCGGAGGACAGCGAGCGCCGTCGGAACCACAACATCCTGGAGCGCCAGCGCCGCAACGACCTGCGGTCCAGCTTTCTCACGCTCAGGGACCACGTGCCAGAGCTGGTGAAGAACGAGAAGGCCGCCAAAGTGGTCATCTTGAAAAAGGCCACCGAGTACGTCCACTCCCTCCAGGCTGAGGAGCACCAGCTTCTGCTGGAGAAGGAGAAGCTGCAGGCCAGACAGCAGCAGTTGCTAAAGAAAATTGAGCATGCTCGGACTTGCTGAACGCATCTCAGAACTGGACAGTCACTGCCACTTTGCACATTTTGATTTTTTTTTTTTAAACAAACCTTGTGTTGACATTAAGAATGTTGGTTTACTTTCAAATCGGTCCCCCGTCAAGTTTGGATCTGGGGTGGGGAGCAGGACACGAGGGGTCCTACCAAGACCTGCATTGATGGGATGCTGGTGACCCTGGCGGCTTTTCCTGTGCGTCACTTCTGAGGCAGCGGTTGAAGCCTGGGACCGTTGGGAGCCTTCTGGGGCTGTTGAAGTCACCTTGTTTGTTCCAAGTTTCCAGACAGAAAGTCATTCCTTCTTTTTAAAATGGTGCTTAAGTTCCAGCCGATGCCACGTAGGGGTTTGCCACTGATACCCCTGGGGAACATTTCTGTAAATACCATGGACACACCTGCCTTTTTGTATACGTCCTGGGTAATGAGAGGTGGCTTTTGCGGCCAGTATTAGACTGGAAGTTCACACCTAAGTACTGTAATACCTCAATGTTTGAGGAGCATGTTTTGTATACAAATATATTGTTAATCTCTGTTATGTACTGTACTAATTCTTACACTGCCTGTATACTTTAGTATGATGCTGATACATAACTAAATTTGATACTTATATTTTCGTATGAAAATGAGTTGTGAAAGTTTTGAGTAGATATTACTTTATCACTTTTTGAACTAAGAAACTTTTGTAAAGAAATTTACTATATATATATGCCTTTTTCCTAGCCTGTTTCTTCCTGTTAATGTATTTGTTCATGTTTGGTGCATAGAACTGGGTAAATGCAAAGTTCTGTGTTTAATTTCTTCAAAATGTATATATTTAGTGCTGCATCTTATAGCACTTTGAAATACCTCATGTTTATGAAAATAAATAGCAATTAAATGATGCAACTTTTTTCCTTCCTTAATAGCAGTGGTTAAACTCTTACCTCTTAAGCAGCAATTGTAAGGAGCACATAATCTAGAGAGGGAACTTGGTTTCCACAGATAAGTCATTTTATACCTGTACAGTCCTGGCTGGGGAGGGGCCGTTGTTCCCCTTTGGGAGGATACTGAGCTTAGGAAGGTTATGAGCTTTCTCCCAAATTACACAATATTGATATATTATTGGTGATTATATGTGCTAGCAGTAGCATTGCATAGTTTACAAAACACTTTGCTATCTTGTTGTTTAGTCACTAGGTCATAACTGACTCTGCAACCCCATGGACTACAGCACGGCAGGCTTTCCTCTTCTTCAGTGTCTCCTAGAGTTTGCTCAAATTCTTGTCCATTGAGTCAGTGATGCTATCTAACCATCTCATCCTATGCCACCCTCTGCTCTTTTTGCCTTCAATCTTTCCCAGCATCAGGGTCCTTTTAACCAAACAGCTGGGACATCAGATTCTTTAGAATGAGAAGTATAATTAAGGCCCCAAGTTCTGCAAATTGGTTGTGCTTAGTGTTGGTAACATTTGTCCTATGAGATGATGGCTTTATATTTGGCATAGAGTATATGTAGTTGGTCTCCAAGAAGAAAGCTCTGGTCAAAATTTACTAAGCTAAGGCATTGTAGCCAAATAAGGATGGAGTTGGTCCCTCCCCTCAAAAAGCTAACTGATGTGTGGTGTGACAACTGTGTGGCCCCGATCAAGTGCCCCATCCCTTCAGGAGAGACACTGGGGTATGAGTGTAGCTCTGTCTGCTTGACACTCCTGATAGTTTGGACTAGCCTGTGGAAGCAGCATTAACCTTTGCAGGTTCTGGAGTCTGGGGAACGGGGATGGCAATGAAGGGCTAGGAGGCAATTTCACAGTTTACCTTATAGGAGGTGATGTCCTTGTTGGGGAGGTGTTCAGCTTCTCAGAATAGAGCCTACAAATAAAATACATCTCTTAGGTGATGGTGCTATTCAAGGCCATTTCTCTAAGGTTTCATTCATCTCAGATAGGAGCTTTATACTAAAAAGACTTCTGCTCAGAAGAAAACGTGTCCAGGAATGAGAAAGGGTTTTGCTTGCCTGGGCCATGTAGGTCTCTAGCTGCTTTGGCCATTTTACAAAGTCCCGTGCAGTTCAGAATTTGAGGTCCTCCCCTGCCCCTGCTGGCTTTCAGCCACATTTCCTAAGAGGCTGGTGGTATTGCCAATGGTCAGACCACGTTGAAATCTTTTTACACCTTATTGTCCCTCCTTGCCCCCATCCCCACACTAGAAAGTAACACCATTTGAAAGTCCTTTTTGAATTGTTATTCGAAAAGACTTCCCATCTATTTGCACTTTACTGGCCCCAAATCTCCCTGCAGTCTCTGTATTTTGTCTGTACCCATGAGCCAAGAGACCTCAGATTCTTAAAACTCAACTCAGTCATCCCAATTTCTGTTTGTTGCGATCACATAAGGTGCATACGGAAGTGTTTCAGATGAGCTGGAACTCCAGCCCTGGAGGAGGTTAAACCATTGAGATGAATGAAGCCCTAGACTGGCATTCCTACGAGGCTTCATTTTTGCTCTGGCTGCTGGGAATCTCAGAGCCAAATTCTGTCCCGTTCAGAGCCAAATTTTACACATTTAGTGCCCATTCTCTTTTCTAAATGTTTATGATCTATTTTTCATTGTTAGTTTAACGACCTTTTAAATAATGTTCTTTATGTTACCTTAAAGAGAACTTTTTGCTTTAGGTGGATCATAAATATGTATTAAAATATTAAAACTAAAATAAAATACCTCTTATTTGCCATTGGGATAGTGCCACCCAATTTAGCTCTGCAATTATCTAAAAAGTAATTGCTGTAGTCACGGAAGAATTGAACCACTCCTTTCAATAACATGAGAGACCCTCTTTGCATTCCAAGAGCAGTTTTGAGACTGTTTGAGAAACCACTCTGTACTAGTTAGATCAATAAATCATAGGACTTGGAGGGATGGTGGAGGTCATCTCGTTGCATTATTTCATTTTATGGAATGGGGTCATGGGATCCCACATCAAATTAGTGGCATATCCTGGGACTGGAGTTTGCTGATAATCAACCCCATGTTCTTCCCATGCTACTGGCTTCCCCCACACTCACATGATTGCTTCCTTACTTCCTGGCTCACCGATCCATCTACAGAGTGTTTCCATATTAGTCCTAGCTAGCTCACCCTGCACAAAAACTTCCAAAGCTTCCCCACTACTTACAGCAGTGGTCCCCAACCTTTTTTGGCACCAGGGATGGATTTCATGGAAGACAATTTTTCCACTGACCGAGATTGGGAGGGATGGTTTCAGGATGATTCAAGTGCATTACATTTATTGTGCATTTTATTTCTAATATAATGCTGCCCCTGACCTGGCAGGAGGTACCAATCCAAGGCCTGGAGGTTGGGGATCACTGACTGATTAAGTCCAAATCTTCAGCCCAGCTCATGAGGCTGCTTCCACCCTGGACACCAGCTCCATCACCCCTCCCCCTCCACAGATACCACTCCTTCCAACCACATGCTCATGGTCTCTCACCTCCGACTTGTCCCACTATATTCCTTCCTCTCGGGTTACCCAGTTTCCATTTATTGAAATATTTTCCAACCTTGAATGGCAAATGCAACGTCACCTCCTTCAAGGAGCATTTCTCATAGCCAAGGTGGAGGGTGGGGGGTGGGTGTTCAGCTCCTAATCCCTCATTACCTGTGAAGAGAGAAGAGCTGTCCTCATCACCCTACCGGACATCCTTGACCATTAAGTGAAAGTTGCTCAGTCGTGTCCAGCTGTTTGTGACTCCATGGTCTATACAGTCCATGGAATTCTCCAGGCCAGAATACTGGAGTGGGTAGCTGATCCCTTCTCCAGGGGATCTTCCCAACCCAGGGATCGAACCAGGGTCTCCTACATTGCAGGCAGATTCTTTATCAGCTGAGCTACCTCCCTTAAAGCAAGTACAGCATTCTGTCCTCCTCTGATTCTTCAGCCCTGGCCAGGTGGCTGACAGATGACAGGGCCTTGGCAGAAGCTGGTAGAAGGGCTGATGGCTGAGTAGGCAGCAGAAGAAGGAACGCAGTGAGAAACATTATGGAGTGCCTCCTGCCAACTGGGTTCCCAAGCTCTTGGGCTAACTCCTGTCAGGGAAGCAGATCCACTGGGCATCAGTGAACATTGGAAACTGACTGCTGAAAGTGACAATAAAACACACACGGAGGCTTGTCTTTAGGGAGCCCACAGTCTGGAATCAAGTCCTTGGTGGGAAGTATATATGGTTGATCGAAAGTCTGTGAGGGGTCCCGTGGCTGAATCCAGCTCCTCCAGGCTCCTGGTATGGAGCTTGCTATTGGAGGGAGCCGGTTTGCTGGTCTACCGTGGGCCTAAGAAGTCTTTACACTCGTCTTGAGGCCACAGGTCCCCTGTGCTATAGTGACAATGGTTCCAATCCTCCCACTTCTGTGTAGCATCTGAGAGATCACCCACGTTTTTATACCTGAGTCTCACAATTCTCTAGAAGTGCTGGCCGGTTCATTCTATACCTGTGTTGGGAACTGGGTCTTTTGGGTTTGACTCTTTCATCCCCATGATGGCTGTCTTTTGAAAATCCTAATTTGGGTTGGGTTTGGATTGTCTTTAGAGTCAGAGGTTATTATATTTGGAAGCGGCTTACCTGATGGCTCAGATGGTAAAGAATTTGCCTGCAGTGCAGGAGACCCAGGTTCAGTCCCTGGGTCGGGAAGATCCCCTGGAGAAGGAAATGGCATTCCACTCCAGGATCCTTGCCTGGAGAATTCCATGGACAGAGGAGCCTGGTGGGCTACAGTCCATGGGGTCACAGAGTCAGAGACGACTGAGTGACTAACACTAGAAGCCATTAAGCTCGGTGTCCCATTTCAGAGGTGGAACACTGGATAAGAAAGTAATAGATGGTCTGCTCACTTTTCTTTTTCCTTTCTTCCTTTCTCTCCCTCCCATCCTCCTCCCTTCCTTCTGTTCCTTCTCTCTTTCATTGCAAACATTTACCACCAAGCACAGATCCAGAAGCTTGGGAGACATCAGTGA